CGGGGGGTGCCCCGTGCCCTCAGGGCTCTCCCCCCATTGACGCTGGGGGTGCGCGGGGGGATGGCTGGGCACGGAGGGGTGGCCCTCGCTGGGAAGTTTTTGCAGAAATCCCAAAGCATCTTCTGTGCTGGGTGTTCTTCCTTGCGCTGTGGGCAGGAGAAGTGCAAGTTTAAAAAAAAAAATAAAAAAATTAAAAAAGGGTTAGTTCTTCAAAATCGTCCCCTTGGAGGGTCGGCCAGGAGCGCGGTAGTTCCTGAGGGTGTGCTGCGGCCACAGCTCCGTGTCGCGGGAGCATCGCGGCCGCTCTCAGTGCCGACGAGTTGTTGCTGATGCTGACGCTGAATTATTCATATGGGACCTGTAAACATCCCCGGCTTCTGTCATCTCTGGGCTGCTGCAAGGCACGGTGGAAGTGGCTTTTGCTAGAATTATTCTGACTTGATGGTAAAGAACTTCGTGCTTGCTGATTTTTCTGTACTTAGAAAAACTGTGGGTATCAAGTTGGTTGCAGTTAGGAAAGATTCCAGGTGGATGTATAAACTGTCAGTGTTAGACACTTTCTTACTTAAGTAAGCAAGTAGATATTGTGAACAATCTGTTGTCCAAAACCTGCTTCTTCGTGTTTCACGAATATGGTCTTAAAAAGTCTGTTATCTTTTCATGATTGTAGATATTGGTGTAAATGGTGGTGTAACCTAGGACGACTTATTACAGTGGGGATGTCTGATCTTGAAGACTCGATTTTTGTGGCAGTATTCTTTTATTAATTTTTAGTACAGGACACTATAGTTATGAACTGTTTGAGCTCAGATAGGGATTTTTATCCTAAGCAGGATGCTTTGAGTGGTAAAAAACAGTGAAATTATAACAAAAACTGGTGGTGGTAAGTGGGATGGCACAATGCAAGTGCCTGAAGAAGTGGACACAATTATGTCACTGCACACGAGGACCGTGCAGCTCCTGTTGCAGTTTTGCACTGGAATTTTATTCCACAGAATGTTGTTATTCCTGATTAACTAAACAACCTTGACATTTGGAAAGGAAGTCTGGAATATTTGAAGTGGATTTCTGGTTAGCTGAAATGTGTTGGGGTATGAAAGACCGTCGTGCTTAGCCCAGGGATTCAAAAGTTCAGGGGAAAGAAGCCAACTGCAGTGACCCTTTTTTGCGAAAGCGTGGTTAATTTTTCCTTTACGTCGCTTTTCTTTGTGATATGGAATGGGCTGCTGAGGAAAGAGTGTTCTTTTGTGATTTATGTGCAGGGTAATTTGTTTGTTTGAAATATGCTGTTCAATGTTGGTCACTAAAATGCCTAAACTTGTTGCTGAAATGTGGGAAAGAGCAGCATTTTGGAATCTTCCTTCTAAGAGTTATTATGTGAGTTTTTTAATGTGTGGAGAGGATGTTACAAGTGTTTGCTTCCACAAGTGTTGCTTCTCTCTAGCTAGTTAATCATTGCACCCATCAATTAAAAGTAACTCTCCAGAATGAAATTACATGCATAGAATCAGAATATATTCATTCTGCTAGATTGTGCTGCTGCTGTTTTGTTTTGAATACACTTTGTCTCCTACAACCACTCATTTTAGTTGCTCTTTTTCCATTGACATATTTTCCATTGTGATCTAAAAAGATTTACAAAACTCTCCCAAAAACTGTGGTAGAAGTAGGGACAGACCCTTTCCAATTCCCCCCTCAAGTCCCTTTCCACAGGCCTTGTGCCCTTCTGACTGCATCTACTGAGTTATTTCATTTCTCAGTTGCAGCATGAATGAGAGATGCTCGCAGGCAAGGGAAGCTTCCTCTGCTTCATCTGCTGTTAAATGCATGAAAGCAACTGAAAAGAATCTCTAGGAGAGAACAATATTATAAATAAGAAATTTATACTCTTTCAAAGCTCTCTGCAGAAGCTGTGGTGAAATATTTTATTCCTCTATATGGCCTTTTGCCTATGAAATTATTTTGATGGAGGTTTTCTTGCCCGATTGAAAATACTATTTAGAGTTCTGGTGTGTGTAGTGACTTACACTGAAGATTTTAACAATTGTTGAAGCTGGAAGGGTTCATTCATTGTACAGGTGCAGTGCAGCACAGAACAATCTCAAGAGCAGACCTGTAACCAGACAGTGGTTTCATAATGCAAACAAACGTTTCCTGGATGCCAGGCTTGAACTCTTCAAGTCATTTATGTTCTTTAGTCAAATCTGAATCAGTGTTTCAATCTTGAGCTATT